ATATACATATATATATATATATATATATAAAATGGCACTCTGCACGATTCCAGTTTCTTTTTTAAAAGTAACAGACAATAGAAATGCTTTAAATGTCCTGACATAACTTTTTTCCCCATTCTTAACATATGTAACCGGTTTTATTTTAAGCTATGTAACAACCATTTCTACGGAAGGCGTGTTTCTTTACAGCAAAAAAAATAACTTCAAAAGCACATTAGACCAAAGAAATTTGAGGAACTGTGATAGACAAGAAATGGAACAGAAAAGTTTCCTCTTGTAACATCTTGTAGAGTTTTAAGTAAGTTCCTGTTGCAGAATTATAGCCTCTTATTGTAAAGTACGCTGCCCCTAAAAAAAGAAGCACAAAGCAAGAAGTCTCTCTTTCCTCCTCTTTCGGTTTGAGTGATTTCACACGTGTTTGCATCGACAGGTTACTAGATTTATTTCTAAGAACCTTTTTAGTCGATAGACAAAACATATTTTCTAATGCATGTTTAAAGTACGTCTTGAGTAATGAGTCCAAAATTGTTTGTACTTAAATACAAAGTGTCCAGTACTATTCAAATGGGCTTTAGAGATTGGTGATATTAAGTGAGTGACAAAAATTGTGCTATTCTTGTCCACATTACATACAGATCTACATAGTATAGATTTAAAAATATTTACATCTCTAGGCTAAAGACATGAAGGCTAATTGAATTCAGGAGTTAGCAAGCCTCAAGTCTAATTCACACATCACACCTGCTGATTGAACCATATCTTCCAAAAATCAATTTTACAAGGCTCATGATCATAGAGCTGAAAAGTCTCAAAGATAGAAATGCATAGAATGTGTAATATAGACTCAAAACACACAACTGAATGTTTAGCAGAACAGGCCACCAGAGCAGAGCAGACCAAATCTGCAAATGTATCAGATCACAATTTACAAATGGAGAAAATCAATGACTTCATGTACAGTAATGTGCAAAAGTCTTGCACTAACTGCCATTTAAAAAAAATATTTTGCAAGGACAATGGGAAATAAGTACAGCAATTTTTCAAAACTTGTTACAAGATACATGGAAATACAGTGTATACGGTAGAAACTGTTTGTATAATTCTAGCACGGCTGAAAGACTAGATTTTGTATGACCACCTTTATTCTTTAACAAAGCCTGAAGTCTCTTTGGCTGGTTTTCTTATAATTTCTTTAAGTGGTCTTCAGGAATAGTTTTTCAGGCTCTTGTGAATAATTCAGTGTTAGGTGGCTTCCTCTGAAACGGGTTAGGCACAAAGCAGTCAGCATTGAAAGAAAAATTATTGAAACCTTCGAAAACCTGAAGAACTACTGCTCAAAAGTACTTGGAAAAAAATGCATAATAAAATGTGTTTCCTTGGACACAAATTATAAAGAAATGAGGGGTCGTCCAGTACTTTACTTTTTCTTGATATTGCAAGACTGAAAAGAATATTTTTTGTAATATTATCAGTACATTGTTGATATGCAATAGATGTTCATATATTTATATATTCTTATGGGTATATATGTGTATTGTTTGTTTCCATAGGTTTAAGGTTTATGTCCATAGTGCTCATTCAGCAATTTGATTTTCTGGAAGAAATATAAAGATAAATGAAATTGTCAACTTCAAACTTAGCTTTAACTTTACCCAAGAGCCAGCTGAGGTAACTGAGTTGCTTAGAGGTTGTCAAAGCCCACAGAGATTATTCCACAATCCTATTTTGTTATACATTAAAAGAAAAAACTTCCGAATCCCCATAATTGCCATATTATTAATTTCTAGATTATATAGTGTTGAAAGAAAGAAAAATGTAAGAATCTATTTGTGGATCCATTTGCTTTCATACCTTTATTGGCATTATAGATAGACATTATTATACGGCGTTCAACATGAACACCTTCACCAAAATGTTGTTTACCACCCCGACTGTAGGAAAACCCTCACCTCCCTCCTCTCACTCCAGCCTCTGACCAGCACCATGCCGGCGTGCCTGCTTTCTCCTCGGCGTTAAACCTAACGAGCCTCCAATCTGATCTCTCCAGAAGCAAGGTAGAAGGTAAAGCCCATATCTGCATGCCATTCAAAAAAAACCCTCCGGAGTATTATCATTCATTCTTCAGCTGCGTCTTATCATCCGCCACACACCCATCATGTTTTCTGTGGACGCCCAGAAGCTTCATTCTATCAGCAGTGGCTTACTGCACTACACAGCCTATAGGCTACCGCACCTGTCTGGGGCATCGCATGGACTCATTACCTCTGCCTTTATTGGGCTCAATTCGCTTCTTCATCAGAACACACTAACCCATACCGGACATTCAAAATGTCAGAAAACACGCACATGCGGTGAGTCACAATCACACTGATCTGCGAGAGGAACCGCTGCAGTGTAACAAAAGAGAAAGCGTTCAGCACACTGCTGAACACGTGTAGCTTCACTAATTATGCATTATGTAGAGGGGGAGGGAGTGACAGGCACCTACATCGTGTCACAGCAGTTTAAATGCTCCCGTAGTAATCTACAATGTTTCCATGGCACCCAAGTTTGGCTTCTAGTCACCATTTAAGGGCTTGTATTCATATATAGAAAAGGCACGTGCTGTTCGGGATCGATACTTAAACGCGTAATTGGTGAGTGTCTGAAGGTGGCCATGCACTACAGTGAGCAGATACAGGGTAGCACCGCCAAACTGACGCAGTAACCCGCATCAATAAGAGCCTCTGACAGGTCTGTTCAGTCAGTGTGCCCCACATGGTCGCCGATTTTGGAGTAAAGCAAAAGAAAGAAAAAAAGGAGGAGCTGCTGTTGGCCAGGCGGTGACAGACGCCGGGGGGTGGACGACAAAACCAAGGTGATGCAACTTCCAATAAGCCAAAACTGGCGGAAAAACTTGTACACAGTGCAGAGTGCGACCAGGTGGCAGGATCACCTCTACACGGCCAGATCTCCTAACGACCGGCAAAAGAAAAAGTAGGTTGTGTTTCAGTTTTTCACCTCAGTGGTCTTTTAACGCGGAGTCATTAAGGAGCAACTTTGTCTTTTACCTCGTTGCGCGTCGAGCGGCTGATGTTAAAGGGAGACAAAGCGTACAGCCGGCGGTCTCGGTTTGAAGTAAGGGTGATGATTGCTCTGGTAACTAAGTGATGTTGAGGAGCTGTTATTTTAACGGCAGCAGGGAACACGTGGCACTGCTTGTAAACCCTCCTTGTTACTACTAGAAGGGGGAAAGGGAGCATTTTGGGGGGGATGCTTGGAGATGATGTGGTGGTGGTGATGGTGTTTGGGGGCGGGATAAAGAAACTGAAGGGGGAGGAGGAGGGGGGGGATTTCCGCGGTAGAATGTTCTTACTTCCTCTCCCCTTTCTTCCTGTCAGATACTTTGTCTCAAGGGTGAAAGGCTTGTATCACTAACAGAGACACTGTTGAATGAAATCAAACAAGCCCACGTTTGAACTACAGAAACTTAGTTGTAGCGATCTAACATGCTAGATAGGTTTAAAGTTGGCCTCAATCAGCAATTGTCCAACTTGATCAAACACATTTTTTTTGTTCTCATGCAATGACATTGCGGCGACATGGTTGTGGCCTTTGTCAAAGTGGGTGGGAATCAAGTGCAGCGGTCAGACTCTTTTCTTGGCACCGTCTTGATCATTCCTGACAGCTCTGTTGCTGCTATTCTTCCTTTCTTACTTTGATGCTGTCTACCATTACATATCTGAAAATTGCTTGTGCTCATAGTGAACTTCTTTGAAAACTTCACTTTTAGTTACATGATTTGTTATGTACCTTAAAGTGAATAACAAATTATGTACCTAAGGTAAGATGCCAATGTTACATTTATTTAATTCAAGTAATGGTTATTGAACTTCTAGTGTTATTACTGATGATAAATGCTGTAATGGCCTGAAAATCACAAAATTATGCATTTCTTGTAATATTACAGCAAGCCAGGTTGTTGTTGTTGTTGTTGTTGTTGTTGTTGTTGTTGTTGTTGTTGTTGTTATTATTATTATTATTATTATTATTATTATTATTATTATTATTATTATTATTATTATTATTATTATTAGTGGTAGCAGTAGTAGTATTTACAGAGAATTTCTATACAGAAAATTAAAAGTATCAAATCCCTGATGATGTTAATTGAGACAACTTTCAGTTTTACATAAACAAAGATAAACATCAAATAAAGAGTTGCTGTTTCATTGATGATAAAATGAATCATTGTGTCATCAATGGTGATTCTCTAGTTTTTCAATGCAGTCTAAGCTTCCCACTGATCAGTAAAGAATTAATGTGTTCTGTATGCTTCAAGTGCATCGTCACAACTTATTCAAATTGTTTGTTGGGCTGAATGATAAATGTGTAGTATGTCAACAGAGACTGTGCATGCATTAACAACAGTCCAGCCCACTATAAAAAGACATGCCACCCTTTTCCATTGAATCTTTACTCCCACAAAAGAGTACTTTTCTTTAACATTTTCTATTTGTTTTCCCGAGGCACTGCTCTCTAGGCCACATGGGTTCCTTTACCGTGATCACAAGTCCAGCCCTCCTTTGAGTGTTTTAATAGCTAGTGAAAAGTAAATTACCAATAAGAGTGTTATTTCAACAATATAATGTGGTAATTTAATGCTAGAAAATGAAAATTAAGCTTTTCCAACTTTGTTATGTCTCCAACACATCCTCATAGCTAAATAACAACGTTTATAGGTAGTGACTACTGAACTGTCAAATCTAACCATTTACATGAAAAACATCAGTGAGTTGCTCTTGCTCACATGGTTTCATAATGCACTTCCTGACACACAGTCTCATTCTGTTAAAGAGTTCAGGTTTTCTACAAAACATGTGTGCATCTGAACAATCCAGGTTATACAAAGTGGAGAAGGGGTCTAGACAGGGCTGACAAACCTGTTTTGATAGCTTAATTAAGGACATTTAAACTTTAAAATGAATAGCTTTGTGTACTTAAGCTATTATTCAGTGGCTTACCTGCAAGTTTCTTGTTGAACATTGAAGGGGAAGTGGTAGTGTAGGAGGAAGCTCTAACATTTGCCAAGTGGTAAACCAGCTACCAATAGTTAACATGAGCCTTCATTTTTCCTACTTTATTAAATAGTTCATAAAGTTATAAGTGATAAAATTTGTTCCCCATCACCGGTTCTGTAAAGTTAAACCCTACCTGTAAGTTGTCACATTGGTTCCTTATGTTTTCATATATGAATAGGAAATCCTACCCGTCTGGAATTGGAATGCCAACATACAAAGAACAGTTTCAAAGTTAAATGCATTAGGCCTTGGTTGCTGGGGGCTTTCCATGATGAGTGTTTTTGTTTTTTCTTCACTCGCCTCTTACCACTCTCCATGTGTTTATACACCACTCGGCATTTAATCATTAGTTATTATGAATTTCTCTTCCACAGTATGTGTTTTCTTCTGTCTCCTGCCCCTCATCCCCAGCTGGTCATGGCAGAGGGCTGCCTCTCCCTGAGCCTGGTTCTGCCAGATGTTTCTTCCTGTTGAAAGGGAGTTTTTCCTTCCTGCTGTCACCAATTGCTTGCTCATAGTGGGTCGTCTGATTGTTTAGGTTTTCTCTACTTGAGGCAACTGTTGTTGTGATTTGGCACAATATGAATGAAATAGACAACATGAATTAAAGAAACTGTCAGCTGGATGTGGAAGTAGTTAAGTCTTAACACGTATGCCATAAAAAAGGTTATGATAATATGTCAATGCTCTGTTTTAAAAACATGTTGTTGCTCACTTAATCTTTAACTAAATGGTAACTCTGGGGTTAAAAGTGTTGCAGAAGAACTGCATTGTAGTAGGTTATAAAAACTGAGCAGGGCTGGCTCCAAAAACTGGTTAGTTGCCGTGGTGATGTTGGTGCCTTTTTGGATGTTATCTGACAAACTGTGTGACAGCTTGAGAAGTCTGTGGTCCATTCATCTATGTTCACTCAATCATCATCCATGTTTCACCTTGTTACTTAATCATCAAGTTATAGAAAAACCGTATCCTTTGGCACTGATTATCAGTCCAGATGTCAGTCATGTGTCACAGAAGGGTTTCATGTGCTTTAAGGTATCTTGCAACACATTTGTCTATAGCTTTGAAAACTTGTAACTGTGGAATTTTCCCATGGCTTGCATCAGACAGTTTTCACAGAATGCTCTCAGATATTTCAGTGTTATTTTTGTGAAGCGTTGGGTCGGACATGTCCAGATGTCTGGAATGCCCAGACAACTAGAGCAGAAGATGAGCTTTACGCACTGAAAGACATCAAGACAAAAACAAAAGAAAACTGAGCAAAGGTATGCAGAGAAGTAGCAACACAACATCAGCGGGTTAGCTGTGGTGTCACAGATCTCTGTAATTAACTCATTCACTGCCATTGACGTCTATAGACGTCAATTGAAAAACTTACGTTGACTGCCATTGACGTCTATAGACGTCAATTACATTTTTCAATGGGAGGGGCTAGAATACATTTTATTTTTTCAATTTGTAAATAAATTGTTTTGATAAAACATAACCTTTCTCAGTGTTATTTCTGTTTTATAGAAGTGAAAAACTATTTCATATGTTAGAGGTGTCACAAAGCAAGAAATA